GTCGGGTTGACGCAACACCCGTGGTAACCACCGGGCGGGGACCGCAGTATGCTGACTTTGCGGAGCAAGAACAGAAGCTCCTCCAAGATTCAGACATGCAAGCTGAGTCAAAACGCTTCTGGCAGGAGTATCTGTCGGATTTCATTCCGGTGAACATTCCGCCCTTCCATGTTGGATCGGGCAAGCCGCAGCGCGCCATGTGCCACTACGACTTTACCTTGCCCCAAGAGAGCCTCGGTTGGGTCCGCAAGCAGGGGTTGACCAACTTCTCTGCCTTCCTCTCTCTATACATGATCCTGCTGCGACGGGTCTGGAACCTGGCTGATGCCACAGTTACAATCCCTGCCTCGCAAAGAGCCGACCAAGTTCCCACCGACATGTATGGGTGCTTCATCAACACTGTCCCGGTGCGTGCGCAACTGTCGGGGGATTGCCTACTTGGACCATTCCTCAAGTCGATGTCTACGAATCTGTTCCGGGTGTTGCAAAAGTCATATCTTCCCTACGACCAAATCCTGGACGCTGCTAAGATTGGCACACATGATTTGCCTCTGATGTTTGTCTACCATGAGGCATCTAAGGATGTCTTCGATGGGTTCATTGACGCACACAACCTGCTTCGAGAAACAGACAGCGAGACTTCCGGACAGTCCAAGTTCCCCGTCACCTTTTCTGTGACCCTCGGTGAGCAGAAGGCGCTTTGGAACGTCAGTATTAATGTGGAGTACGACACGAGTAGGATCCAGAGGAAGTCAGTCGATATACTGTGCGAGCATTTTGAGAGCCTGCTTCATGCGGTCAGCCAGTCCTCAGACGATAGAATTTTGATTGGTAACTTGGATATTCTCACCCCGGGAGAGAAAGAACTGGTGGAAATTCAACAGCGAACAATTGACGCGGTCAATCGCGAGAGAGCCGCTCCCAAATTTGTCCACCAGCTCGTGCGTGATCAAGCTGCGCAATTTCCCGACCAGATCGCCTGTGATTTCGAGGGTAAAGAAACAGTGACATACCGGCAGCTTTGGAACAAGGTGGAGCATATTTCCGCCGGATTGATCTCTTTCAGAGAGGGAGTCGACAACAAGGTCGGTGTCTTCATGGATGCCGGGATTGATCGCATTGCCTCCATTCTAGCTGTTCTCAATTGCGGAATGGCCTGGGTTCCTCTTGAAGTGAGCCTTCCTGTCGCTCGACTCGTCACGATCGTGGAGGACTGTCAGCCCCAAGTGATCTTGACGACACAGGCCCTCAATAGCGATCAGAAAACGGTCTTGCAGGAGCTCCACAAGGCCACTGCTCATCGGGTTCCCCTGTACAATCTCCCCTCAGCTGTGTCCACTACTGAAGCGCCTACCGTTGTCGCTGACAACCTTCAACCAAGCGATCTGGCCTACATTTTGTATACGAGCGGATCTACCGGCAAGCCCAAGGGGGTTCAAATAGAGCATCTCCCTCTGCTCAACGCGACGCTGGCCTTTCGTGCTTTGTATGAGTGTGGGCGGGACAGCCGCTTCTTGCAATTTGTTCCATGGACTTTTGATATCTCGATCATGGATGTCTTCGCATCCTTGACAACCGGTGCGACTCTGTGCCTTGGGGGTAAAGAGTTCCTCCTTTCCAACTTCCACTCTATCTTGTCCCGGATGAAAATCACCCATATCTTGATATCACCCACGATGATGAGCCTTCTCACCCCCGAGCAAGCGCCGGCCTTGAAGGTTTTGTCCAGTAGTGGTGAATCAATGACCACCAAGGTCCGTGATGTCTGGGCCGAGCGAGTCACTGTCCTCAATGCTTTCGGACCCACCGAGACCTGTATCTACAGCCTTGTGTCGCGCGTGCGTCGCGACTTGGAGCCCAACAATATCGGAACACCGACCACGGGAAACACGGCGTTCATTGTCACTGAAGAGCTCGGGTTGTGTCCGGTTGGAACAATCGGACAGCTGGCCATCGGAGGAGTTCAGCTTTCTCGTGGCTATCTCAATCGCCCGGAAGAAAACCGTGCGTTCGTGGATCACCCTCTCTTGGGACGTGTTTACCTAACCGGTATGTATCCCCTCTGTATTGCAGGTTTGCATTCAGCTGACAAGTGCTAGGCGATTACGCTATCAGAAATCACGATCAATCGATCACCTACCTGGGCCGCATGGACACGCAGACCAAAATCCACGGCCAGCGCGTCGAGCTCGAGGAGATTTCCAACACTGCTCTCTCACATCCTGCGATGCATAATGCGCTTGCTATGGTTGTCACCCGCGGCAACACAAGCCATCTAGCACTTCTATTCGAACCCAGTGGACGTGGGTCTGCCGTGAGACAGACTGACATGCAAGCTCTCGATGCTACGGACTTCCAGGCCACTGTCTCGGAAGTTCACTCTCAGCTCCTCTCCACCCTCCCCCGCTACGCTGTCCCAAGCTTGTGTATTCCCGTCTCGTTCCTGGCCATGAATGTAAACGGGAAGACGGACAGAAAGCAGGCCACTGCTCTTGTGGCCGACCTAAGTGACACCCAGCTGCTGTCGTACAGTGTCGAAGCCCATGAGCAAGGAGCAAATCTGCCGCTGGAGACCGAGCAAGAGTTCCTGATTGCCGACGCGATGCGTCAGATCTTGAAAGCCCGGGATATCTTTGCGAACAGTAACTTCTTTGCCATGGGCGGCACTTCCATCTCCGCCATTCGTCTTTGCTCGATTCTAAGACGATCGGGGTTCACCCTCATTGTCAACCACGTCTACGCGCATGCGACAGTAGCCGAGCTTGCCGCCAACGTCAGGTACAAGTCTCCGGCGACCATGGTTTCAGACACCAAACTCACCAGCTGGGGTAACATCCATCCGATTCCGATCATGGACTGGTACATCGATCAGCAGAAGGCCAATCCCAACTGGACCAATCAGGCTCACCTGCTCCGAATGGCCGGCTCGGTAACTTTCACCGACACGGTGGAAGCGTGGCAACGCATCACCGAGATTCATCCTTCTCTGCGCATTCGATGCAATTCCTCTCTGACGCCACCCCGGCTATACATTCCCACCCATTCATCGTCCCGGGATTATGCCGTGACCCGTCACTCCGTGTCCTCAGAGGAAGCGATGGAATCGATCATCCCACAAGCGCAAGCTTCGCTGGACATAACCAAGGGACCCGTTTCTGCCTTGGCATGGATCGAGACTCCATCCGCAACCTACTGTCTCATTGTAATCCACCATCTCGCCGTCGACATTGTCTCATGGCAGATAATCTTCGACGACCTCGAACAAATCCTCGCTGGCGGATCGATCTTGCCCGAAGGCGATTCATTCCGTCGCTGGTCTCTGCATGTCCGCGAGAGGCAGAAGTCGGCTCTCCCCCGGGCCGTGGATACTGCTCAGTGTCCAGAGTCACCGCATGAGAACCACCGCATCGTCCCCGGGTTTGCCTCGCGGCGCCACCAGAACCTCCAAGCCACTGTTGCAATCGTCGAAACGAGTCTCGCCGCGGATCTGACCCAGCTCTGCCTGACCGAGGCCAACAAGATGCACGGCACCGAGCCGGTCGAGCTCCTCCTCGCGGGACTGGCCCTCGCCCTCTACCGCTGGCGCCAGATCCGCCGGGTCGAGCTGACGCTCGAATCGCACGGCCGCGAGCTCCAGAACGAGGCGCTCGACCTGTCGCGAACCGTCGGATGGTTCACATATCTCTACCACGCGGTCTTCGCCCTCCCTCCCGGCGGAGCGACCGACAGCGGCAGCAGCCACACTCCCAGTGGCAGCGGCAGCTACACCCCGAGTGGCAGCGACAGCGACAGCGACAGCAGCAGCGGGCGCAGCAGCACCCGCGACAAGACCAGTGTGATCCCAGCTCTGGTGTCGGGCACCAAGGCGACGCGGCGCACGGCCTCTCAGGGCGCCGACTTTGCCGTCTCGACCGATCGTCCGGGCGCGGTCGATGCGCCCGTCCTCATGTTCAACTACGCCGGGGCGTATCACACCGGCAGCACGGGGGGGCCTTTTGACGCGGTCCGTCGGCTGGCGGTGGAGACGTCCATGGAGGACCCCCGGAACATCCGGCCGTCGGTGCTGGACTTCAACTGCGGTGCACGGGACGGCGTGATGGATTTGAGTATCTTGTACAGTCGGGCCATGCACGCTGAGGAGGATGTGCATGCGTTGTTGATGAGGTGGAGAGAGGCTGTCGAGGAGATTGTTGAGGAGTGTACTAGCTCCTGAGAGAATTGTGCGGGGGCTTCATGAAGGTCAGGTCAGGAGTACTGCTCCAGTTTATCTTGATTGCATGTCAAGGAGAACATGTTCTGTTCAATCAGTAAGGCAAGCTGATGTGTAGTGCGGTTCGTCACTTTGTTTTCAGTTGATAATATTTCCATCTCTCTGCTTCCTTCTTACTTTCTGTTCTCGAATATTGTAACGACATCCAATGAACCCAGGTGAAACGAGGTAAACGAAGACTGCTGATGATGATGGCAGGATGGTACGTGTGAAGAAATGCGGACGGGAGAGAAAAGAAGACGAAGACCCGACCCAGGCGGGAAATCTCATATTCTCTTCCATAAAACGTGGTCTCCAGAGATGCACGTCGGCTGCTATTTGGTAGTCCTCCACGAATGAGTAACTGGGACTTGAAGGATCATGTCGGAATCCGGTAGATGCTGCATGAAGTGCCTGTAGAGAATGAGACGCCTTGGAGGGCAATGAAGGGTATACCGTTGATAGATAAGCAGCTTTGATGAGCGAAGACAGTACCTAATGAGGCGTTCCAAGGCTGCCATGATTGATTGCCCCACCTGCATTACCTTACTGCTTGATACGAACATTCGAATTTGTTGGACCTTTCCCCGTGACCATCGAAGTATTATAGTCCACTGTCATAAGACCAATTCTACTTATAATTCTATTGCAATTCTATCTTTCTACTAAACAGCAAGACTATCAGTCCTGTATACAATTCCAGGTCTTAGGGGTGAGCTATTCTAAATATTTTTTGATTTGAAGTTGGATTGTCTGAGTTCTCAAGGTGGGCAACGCGCTTGGTGCATCGCCTCGGATCACGTGGGCTGGATTCTTCACGAACGCCGACAGTAACTGATACAAATCAGCAGACGCAGTCTTGGAGGTGTAGTTGTACATATCATCAATCTTCTCCACCGGCTACAGAAACGAGGGGGGTCTTCCTCTCTGGCCATGCGAAAGCCGCCATACTACTGCGTTTCTCTTGCCTCTCAAAAGCCATACTTCCCCTCCTTCATCTCCCTCACTGCCTGCGCAGCCTTGGGATCCTTCCTTTGCAAAAGCCTTTCATACGAGTCAATCATCGCGTCCTGAAGCACATTCTGCTCTCGCCACTCTTGTATCTGACTTGGCACCACGGCCCCCGTGTACACCTTCTGCGGGTGCTCCATCGCCAGTAACCACAGGTCCATCAACTCCGTCGGCTGCATCACAGACAGCGCATACAGTTCACTCCAGACCAGGTTCCCAAGGATCCGCATCTGCCCGGTGTAGGCAGGCGACTTTGCCTTTCTCTCGTCGGGGACGGATGACGGCGTGAAGTCCGCATCGATGGCAAGGATATCAGGGCGGAAGTCCCTGGGGAGTTTGTCTTGGTCTTTTTTCATGTATGAGCTAGCACTCCAGGGGTCAAGCATGAGAAAGCTCGATTGGTTTAGCAGAGGGTGTTGCGTGCGGAGATTACGGAAGTGGCTGCGTGATGCTCATGGCTGGGGTTAGTGGGGTTCCCGCATGATGAATAAAAAAAAAAGAAAAGAAAAAGAAAATAGATAGGGAATATAGTGGACATTGAGACAAACCTTCGCACGGCCTCGGTATCCTTAGGATCGATACCCAATTCCCTGCAATCGAACCACTCGAGCTTCAGGAGGGGCTTCACCTCCTCCGCGCCCGGCTCATGGTCGCCCCACGCGGCCACATGCTCTTCCACCTTTGCTCTGACCACCCCCCACTCCTCGTCGGAGATGTCATGACATGCAGCGCGGTAAACGGCGAACCCAACGGTCTGCGCGCCGGCATCCTCTAGTGAATCGGTGATTGTTCTCGCACATTTTCGGAGGACCCTATGGATCCACGGAGCCGGAGGCAGCTCCGTTAGCGGGGGCGACAACGAACCGCGCATTTCCAAGCGAAGTTGATCCCGCGCCTCCGTCTCCAATGATCTAACTCTCCGTAGGCATGCGAGGGCCCTCGAAAGTTTCTCCTCTTCACTTATCTCGCTCATCTCGCTCGCCAGCGGGATCTCTAAGTCGGGCGCCGCGTGCCGCCGTGCCTCGAGCACCTCAGGGAGCCGTTGCGCATACGCTTCCTCCATGTCCCGTAGTTGCGGATGATGCAACCCCGCCACAATGCCGGTGGGCACACGGTACCCCTTATACCCCTCCAGGGGCATCCAGAACCCGACATCAGCGAGATACGTGATATCAGCGAGGAGGCGCCACCGCCGATCGAACTTCGTCAGCCGAGCCAGAAGGTCTGTCTGATCAACAGCCGCCGTGTCGCAGAATTCAGCCACCATCCGCTCCGTCAACCTTGCCAGGTGGCCCACCACCCATGCGTGCGCGGTGCGGGTCATGACCTCATACACGGCGCACACGTATTCCGCCCACAGAGCGCGGAGATCGAGGGTGTCCGGAAGCTCCGCCAACTGATCCGGCCTCGCCCGCCGCCGCGCGTTCAGGGCCCACTGCACCTCGCCCAGCTCGTCGGAGATCAAGTTAAACTGGTCTCGAAGATTCGTGCTCACCTGTTTGATTCGCAGGTACTCGAAGACGACTCCCACGGCGGTCAGATGCTCGCAGGCACGCTCCAGATTTGCGGGGTTGTCGAGGTCTTGTTCCTGCCACTGGGTCTCGGAGAGCGGGACCAGCCCGTCACGGAGGCGGGCCTTCATCAAGTGGATGTTTTTGCCCACGAGGCAGAGGCGGGAGGGATCTTGGTGGCTGCCGCAGTGACCCAGGACCTTGCCTATCGCGCAGGTCACACTAGGGGGCGGACCGGGCGTATCGACTGGAGCCCACGCCGCGGTCGGCTCTTCCAGGAGCCGAGCTTCCATGGGTTGTAGGAGTGGGAGATTGGTGGTCGTGCCGTTGGGGAGGTGGCCGTCCACGGCAAACGCGACGAAGTTGGCGATGAATTGGGGCTCGTGGAACCGGTCAACTGGTGATGGATTTATCTGTTACCTCGGATGTCTCCATACAGGATTGATGCAGCGGGAGTGAAGATAAGGCCGCAATGCAGTACAGTACGTACCAATGGGTGAGTCTTGGCTTGCCCAGTGCGGCTGTGTGGGCCCGGATGAACGCAATGCGGTGGCATCCACGTTGGAGCTTTTCCTCTGGACTGGTGGCTCGAAATCGGTATGTGTGGCAAATCGTCGGGCCACGTTTGGCAGTCCGACGATCGCTCCTGATTCCAGGTGTACGCGGGTGAAAGGGAGAAGCCCGGATCGTTGTTTTGGCATAGGCAGCCTGCCATGGTGTCGACGACTCAGCTGCCATAGTCTTCGCGATACTCGTGCTGCCATTTGGGCTGGTGGATTTGTGGGTCTGGGGTCTGGGGTCTGTACGGAGTGGGCAGAAGGGAAGTTGATCGAGGGGGGAGCAGAAAGAGCGGATGTCGATCTTACCCTCAGGGTCTCAGGGTCTCAGGGTTGGAGACGATGCACGGTACCTGGTGGGCTGACGTTACCCCTGGCCTAGCCTGAAGCAGACTAAGAAGGCGCAGCCCGTTCGGAAGTCCCAAAGCCGTGCATGGACATGACAACACGTCAATCCCGGATGTCTGGTGCGCGGCTTAATTATCCATGAGGCTTTCAGACATACCTCGGCTGACACTCCAGAGCCCTACGTTGGGAAAAAAAAGGTAATACTCCCGCAACCTGAAAAACGGCGTGATTTCCTAAGTCACGTAGATGTGACCCGTCTTCGTTCTATGTTGGCTAGGAGCCATTTCAGTAACGGTATACTGACAGCCTGGCTGCTAGTCTTTAACAGATGGATGGGTGGAGAAGTTCATGACGGGACACTGATACTGGCGATGAATAAAAAGACCCAAAAAACATACAACAGAAGGGATTCGCTGGTGGTCACCCACCCAACTACTAACCTTCCGGCGTGTGGCTTAAGTACGGCTGAGCGGACGGGAAGCCCTGTTTTCCACACCCTGTGGTCGTATGTGCTAGAATATATCCACTGATTGTAATTGTTCTACAATTCAATTTGGAAAAGTTAGCTACCTCCAAAAACAAAATCACAACACATCCTCTGTAAGGGTCGATATCTGTTTAACCCTCACACTTGCCTATGGCCGACAAACCCATCGCGAGGAATCCATGATTGGTATGGTGTTCCCCGGGAACATTGAACCTCTTAGGCCTTGTTGTTTTTAACCTACAGTATAAGGTGGATTACCTTCATAGGCTTATGTGTATATATTTCCCGATTCTGGTCGAGGACTTTCTCTCCGGGGGGAAAACAGTTAGGGCGGATAATGCCGGCTGGAAATGTATGATGCAGCATAATAGTGAATAAGCCCGAGCGGTGGTTCTGGGCCCATCGTCCTTTGTGGAAGGTCACTGTGACAGCACGAGGTGATACACACTCAGCTGATATGTCAAATGTACGCAGCCGCGTGGCATCACCGTTTGCTCATAGGCAAACAGCGGGACAATGAGTAGGTCAGAAGACAGAATGAATCACCCTCTTCTTCAAGTTGGGAGCCTGAGAAACGCTCACTCAGTAGGATGACATGTGTCTAGCCACATAGACCAGCACTGGCCTTGTTGCTTTCTTCGCTCCTTTTTGGCTATAACTGCGACCACCTTAGCCACAATCCAGTTCATTCTTCATTCAACCCACATGCCACATTTCTGTGAGACTCACACCTCTACTATGCAAGCCATCATTATTTCCACGTTGCCCTTAAGTGACCTGAAACCCACTAGCCAAGCCGCAGCGACCATCAGCAACGTCCATCACCTGGCATCCTACAACTGGATCGAAGCACCCGAGCCTACCATCGCCGTTCCCGGGTGTCCCAATCGCTGGACGCCCCCCTGGCGACCTGGCCAATGTGAGATCAAGGTCCCCAAGGACCCCGCGGAGGATGGTCATTCAGAGAACGCGGCGCGCCATCCAGCCAGACCAATGGAGCCCCTTTTCCGCGCGCTGTACCTCCTACAGCCAGATCTGGACATTCGATGCGTTGACCTTGTGACGGACCGCAGCACCATCCGCAAGCTATTATCGGTCATCAGCCCGAATCTCGACAAGAGGGCGCTTGCTACCCTTACGATCCACATTGAGCGACAGGGCAAGACCGCCCTTCTCTGCTGCGAGGAGGCGTCGACCCGGGAGCGTATACCTCGCACGCGGTTCCGTGGATACGGTCAGGAATTTGAGAAAGCGACCACCACCAGTTGTGTCGCAGGCAGCACCAGTCACTACCGGATCACGTCCTACGACTTGGAAGAATTGTCTTGTATAGTCCGATACAAGGCTGATGGCTACGTGGAGCAGAGAGGAGGCCACGATCTGTCCACGATGCTGGTCTCGTTGAATATCTCCGACTCTCCAATTCCGATCCCCCGGCACTCATCATTGAGGGTTTGCGCAAAAGGCCTAATTATTCCGCCGGACTCCATTCTCGAGATCAAGACCTCGGCCTCCGGAAGAAAAGTGGAGATGGACAAGGTTCTGCCCCAGATGTGGGTGTCCCAGACCTCGCTGCTGGTCTGTGGCTCTTACGATAAGAAGGGCATGTTCAGGGAGTGTTGGCCGGGACACGTTGGACGGGAACTCAAAGCATGGGAGAAGAACCATCAGGCCGATCTGAAGCGGCTGGTGGCCTTATTGAAGTGGATTATCGCCTCGGTGCCCAGAAGTGGCCAGAAAGCGACGCTGGATTACGATTCGCGTCACGAGGAGCTCGTGATCTCGCGGGCGGAGCGTCCCAATATGCTCCCGACTGACCTTTATGATAGATGGGAAGGTCAGAGTTAGGGTATTATCATGCAGGGTTCGTAGCGCGGGAGATTTTGATGGATGATGGGGGAATGAGATCGTAACTAATGGAGGGCGAATGGTTTCGTGGCTCCTGTCAACAGAGCGCAGACCCTTGATGTTAGTCATCAATCGGCCGGATGGTGTAGTTGGTTATCACGTATCGTTAACACCGATAAGGTCCTGGGATCGAGCCCCAGTCTGGTCATTGCTTTTTGCTCTTTGCTTTTTGCTCTTTGCTTTTTGTAAAAGTCTGTCGAGGGTGTAAGGACTGCAATTGATGATCGATGCGGTAGGCCATTTACATAGGAGACCAGAATGGTCCATAAGCGGATTGGACCTTTTTCTAAATTCGGCCGCCCACGGCGGTACCGGCCAGCAAAACGAAGGAGCGAGAGGCACGATGCTTGCATTAGTGTCTCGGGAGATTCGTTGTTGACGTGGCGCGAGTCAGATTAGGTAGAATTGGATTTCAAATGAAAAGGCGTCCTAAAGGATGACGCATCTTAGCGCCCGCAATCCTACCGACATGCGACAAGTGATAGCGTGGGAGATTTGGTGGGGGTATATAAGCTATCTTCGAAGCTTCCCGTCGCCCTTTGACGGTCTGCGGTGCCCGAATGATTTGTTACACGCAAGGAGATTTAAGCTCGACTCTGTGATCATGGTAGATCCGAGTGGAGTCGACGACGTGGCAGAGGCTCTAGAAGCATGTGAACAAGGCATGCATTTCCAATACTCGCAAGTCGCTGTAGCGACTGGTGACAAGTATACTGACAGATCAGTAGTGGCTGAGCGGGAGCGCTTGAAAGCGGCCCTAAGGGAAGGCAGCCGCTTCGCCTTCGGAGGATCTGTGGAAAGGTACAACAGCATTGCAGCTCAAGGAACATGTCGCTGGATCTACCACACCAATGAATTCCGAGACTGGATCCGCCAGAGACAAAGCGTACTGTGCGTTACGGGGTCGTTCGGGTCCGGGAAGTCGTGTCTACTCGCCTCGCTAGCGATGAATCCTTGGGGGTTACGGTCAGAAGTGAATCTGCCACCCCAGCCTCTTATTATCAGACTCTTCTATGATTCTCTGCAGATCCCAGATTTATCTCAGATATTGCAGGCTCTACTAGTCCAAGCAATCCCAGAAGAGGGGCTCACACACTGGGTTCACACGACTTATGCGGGCCAACTTAACATGAGTATTGAGGACTTGCAGGATGCTCTCTTCCAGTCCCTAATCAATCTGGGTCAGGAGAAGTCGATATTTATGTTTCTCGATGATCTGACCGCGCTTGAGCTCGATATCAGCGGGGGCTTGGTTTCGTTTCTCGGTCGATTGGTAGACCACGCTTGTTCTACTGATATTGCATTACATGTTTGCTACTCGAAACGGGATTATCCTATTGTGGAAGCGGCAGCCTCAACGTTTCCCACCCAGTTTCAAGTTCGGATCGATGCCTTCAATCAACAGGACATCCAGTCGTGCGTTCGTTATTCCTTGGAATCAGCGTTCCGTCAAGGAATAGTGGAGTCGAATGACTCGATCGAAAGAGCAGTGAGCAAGATCCTTGAAGTGGCGGGTACAGGCTTTGCCGCTGCGTCGATCTATCTACGCCACTTGGAGGAAAATTACGTGCCGTTTCAGAAAGTAGACGAGTGGCTTGAAGTGCTTCCCAAACCGCTTGAAGAGATGTGGTTGAAACTGTTGCGAGATCTGCTGACATACAGAAACCCCAACGGGGCAAGGGCAATGAAAATGTTGCAATGTGTGCTGACGGCCCGAAGGTTGCTGAGTCCTCAGGACCTCTACTGTGTTTGCAACATACCCAGTGATATGACTGACCCGGATGTGCGGTCCGCATTAGTGACGGACTCTCTGGGCTTACTCACCATATTACCGGATACAACGAATACCATTGAGCCTGGAAAGCCAAGAGTTATAGTGTCCTTTGTCCAGCCAGCATTGAAGGCGTTCTTAGCATCACCCGCAGCGGGTGCCCTCTTCACAGAAACGCTGCAGTTAACCCACGCCGACTTTGTTGCTGGGGACCACGGCCGCTTTGTCCAAGCGGGGATCAAATGCTTAAAAGAATTTCTCCCCGACTACCGTGATCAGTGGAAGGACTCACTCCCGCCCTTCATCGGTGGGAAGTTATTTCAGGAGCCCAAACCTAGAAGCACCCAGGTGAGCTTCGATCAGATCTTCAAGGGGTATTCATTGCTCGAGTATACCGTTCGCTATTTGTTCAAGCATGCTCGGGAAGCTCAACTTTCTGATGACCTCCGAAATCTTGAGGAGACATCCCAAGATGGCTGCACGCTTCTTGCCGTCTGGGGTCATCTGCAAAACTGCTTGCAAGGGATCGAGATATACGGGCCCTCGGTCACGTTGCAGCATGTTCTTGCACGATACAACATGTCGGAATATCTGGAAAGGTATAAAAGTCTCGAGGTCAAGACCGAGAGCGCTCAGACAATTCTCCATTGGGCTGCTTTCTACGGAAGTGAAGAGGTTGTGGGCCTAGTGATCAATCGTACTGTCGAGACACAGTTAGAGGTCTTGTTGCAGAGCTCACGGAAGAAGCACCTGACTGGCACCCGTTGTCTCTACTTTGCCTGTCGCGAAAGTGAAGACGGCATGAGCGCGCTGGACATCGCTGTACAAAAGGGACATGTGAACATCGTTAACCTTTTACTGTCTTTCCGTGACAGGCTAGACAAGATATCAGATGTATACAAGGTTCAGAACAAGTTGAGGCTAAGGCAGCCGGAGATTTTTCATCTGGACTATACATCATCGATGCAACGTGAGCTCTATGCTGCTTGGGAGACACATCTGAATGACAACACGCAGGGTAGGATTCCCGCTCTTCATCGAGCAGTCAAAAAACGGCTTCCTGTTATCGTGAAGAAATTGTTAGGGTATGGGGCCGATTGGCGGGTGCAAAGTGAGAGCTTAACACCTCTACAGTTGGCGCTGAGACTGGCGCAAGATGAGAATCCGTTGCATCCAGCTACTAAAACCGTCGTGCGGATCCTCAAGGTGGAAGCCTTCGCAGTCCTCGACAATGCAACCTGTCTGGATTCCGAGATGGAACCAGTTGATCGGGTTTATGAAGGCACCGTAAATCACATCGACGGGCGAGATTTGCTTCGGAGTGATGTTCCCATCCCCGAACTCTTTGATGGGATTACTATCCCCGAACTCTTGAAAGAGAATGGCGTGGGCCAGACTGGTTCGAGATCTACTTGGATCCATCTTCCCGCCAATAATGTGAGTCTTCTCTCAAAAAGCTATCGCCACGCGTTACCTAACAGCCCTGCAGATGAAATGGGCAGAGGTACTTGACAACGTTGAATAGGCCCCACCTTATGAATTGACAGCTCTGACATTGAACAGATTCTTATCTTGCAATTATTAGGGCCGCAGAAGCGGGACAAGCTGCTGCGCCACGAGCTGTGGACAAGCCGTCAGATACGTGGCTCTGAAAGGTCTCATATCTCGTTCATGAGGCCTGGTTACGAAGAAATAGATGAAACACATGACTTTGTGATAATCGTCAGTCAAATAAATCCAGACCGGCATTGAGAAGATAGTCGTGGAAAACTAAGCTTCTCTACTCGCACAGATGCCCTACCTCCACTGGGAGACCCAGAGAAAGCAAAGGCGATTGGAGGCCTTCAGCCTCTGCAAATTTCTGCTGGAATCAGAGGCGGACGGACTTCCTTCCCTTGTGAAGCAGCTATCTGCAGAAAATAATGACATCCTCAACACATTTGCGGAGATCCCGTCCAGTGATCCTAAAATTGCAGCTCTCGGTCAGGAGCTCCGGCAGTTTCTGACCACCGTGGAACGTTCAAAAGCAAATAAAGTGCCTGCACAGGAGCGGCTCCAAAAGGCCCTACAGGCCTACAGGGAGGAAGCCTGCGCGTCAGATCGGGATATGCGTCTTTTTGACTCGTACACGAGTAGGCAGAATGTCAAGCATCCTCTTCATATTCGCAGAACGCTTGATCAATCGTTCTACTATACTTTAGACAACACATCGACGCGCAACAAAGATCAAGTTGTAGCACGTTATGGGATAAAGGAAGGGAGAAAGGAACCCATCGTCATGATGGTAGATCAGTTGTGGCTCTGGTGCTCAGGGAGTAAGTGGACCCTGTTATGATTGTGGACAGTACCCTTTGACTGTGCTAACGCACTCTCCAGACACTATAATTACATGCTTTCCACAAAGACGCGAATGCAACCCTGATGACCCAGACCGGTTCGACATGACTGATATACTGGAAAACATCCTGCATTCAATCTCTCCAGATTTCAAGAAGAAAGAAGGCGGGATTGGACCACTATGGCTGATCCCGAGAATTGTCAAAGAATGCGCCGGAGCTTTTGTTGATCCGATGAAAAACGTGGAGGATGAATTTAGGTTTCTGGATATGTTCAGCAATTCAATCAGCCGGATAGTAGGTCGTCTTCCTCCCCATAGATGTCCGATTGTCCACTGACTTGTCCTCGTAGGCTGACGGAGAGGTTGCCTGCTACCAGCGCTTCGTCAAGATGCTACGGGTATCCAGTCAGCAGAATCTTATGGATATAGACACTGAGTCCGACCTTCTGCGAGAGATTAAGGATATTCTCGACGAACTCCGGATGATAAGGGTAGTTATGGAAGATCAACTGAAAGTCATTGCGGCCATCAGAGCTCCTTTTTCGCACGCACGAATGTCAGTCTGGGATGATGTACGGGATTCGGTCGAACGCTACCTTGACAAAGTTCGGTCCATGCAGAACGAGGGACAAGCGACGGTAAATTCGGTAAGGATGAGGGCTACACCTTGGAAGTATTATCCCGCCAACTAACGGACTCGTTCTTAGCTGAATGCCTTGATGGACCTGCGGCAGCGCCACGCGACCCTCTGGGAGGCCAAAGCCACCGGGATGCAGGGCAACACCATTATGGTCTTTACTGTGGTTACCATCCTCTTTGTAAGTTCGAAGTCTTTTGTGTGTTAGAAACCCAGCTGAACGAATGCAGTTACCTGCCTCATTCATGGCCTCCTTCTTTGCGTTGCCCATCATGCAGTTCTCCAAAGCCGAGAGCTCAGACAGTCTCGATCTGTCATATGTGGTAAAATGGCTAAGTAAGTCGCATATCTCCTGAACACCAGAGGCCATATCCTCGGTTGTGGACAGACATCTCAGCGACTAACGCGGACTGCGACTCAGTGGCTTTTACCGTACCGGTCGCCCTCTTCTTCATTTCGATTGCTTTCTACATCAACGACATTCTGAACTTCCTGTCCCGGGTTACTGGGCATGAAAGACGAGTTGCTAGATTGTCTGCCGAGACTTGGAAACAACAAATCGGGCAGGGCATCATCGCCCCTGGAAGAGATAACCGGCAGGTTCGTGACGATTCCGAGACTGGGTGCGAGGGGAATGGAGATGCAGTCTCACAGCACAGTCAGGACGAGCCGAAGGCTCAATCGGCAGCTCGGCGCAGAAAGCTGTTTCGATTCCAGAATCGGGGTATGGATAGTCCAGCTTGAGGCTGAGATAGGCATGGGAGATCAACCGGATACATGGGTCGAGAAACCTTCTTAGTGATGAAACTTCCGACCATCGGTCGCTGGAGCTGGGTCCTGACAAAGACTTCTGGTCTCTCATACGACTAGCTATCTTATGTTGAGACAAGATATTAGATTCCGTTTTGCTGATTTCCTTGAGAACAACACGGGCTTATCTGCTGCTTTATCTACTATTTCACTTCAGGGACATTTGAGCCCTGTATCAGAATATAAGCATGAATATCGTTAATCAGCAGTAAATAGCTCTACGCGCCCGAGGGATCTGAAGAGCAGTACAGTACAGTACACGAAGAACTCGGCGGATGCTGTCAGAGCGGTGGTAATTTACAACACATAACGATAGCCGAAGCAACAAGTTGTCCAGTATGCCTCGGTCGGCTGCCATCGAGCCAAGAGAATGTCCACTATCGGACACTGAGTGCTACGATAGGGAATTAGCTCACTCCGTAGCCGTGCAGAGAACTGTATGTACTCAGAGTGCCACGACTGGGAGGGGTTAAACGACTCGAGTATGATGACAGGTCGAGTTGAAGCGGCCGGTATTTTTCGCAGCGCAATGACTCGCCAAGAAGCTAGCCCTCCGGGGCCAAAGATTCAACAGCACAGCCCTTTCGCCGTGCTTACTGCGCGACAGACGTTTCTGGGGGCGTAAATAAGGAAATGAGTTCTTTGTATATAGGTGTAGGAAGCCTACCGGGAATAGGACCAGTAGAAGACCCCTTGCGAGCGGCAACTTTGCCTCTGTTTTCCCGTCGTCGATCTCGATCTCGTGATCAGGGCTCGTCGTTCATGCCAACTTGCACTCCTCGCCCCCAGTGTAGCCCGTGTGGGTCCATGGGCTATACGGTCGGACTCCTCTAACTTATAAAACAAGTGGGCCGCATCGCCTCATCATGACTGCTCATTATGCTCCCGCTTCAGCTACAGACGCATACTGATGATCAGGTACGATCAGGGGGATGTCAGGGGGGGGGGGGGGCTGCAAGTGTACTCCCGAGTCCGTACGGCCCCGTTACTCTTTCAGCACGGCTCTTCTGCCGCCGCAGCCCTGCATCAAAAGGAGGGGGCTAAAAACAATCCTTCCCCACTCGGTCGTGGCTTGGTCTAAATAGGAGTCTGTGTCCTGTCAGTTCGCCCCTCTTTCGTTCATCCCGATGATCATGCTCCCACTTATAAGATCAGTTGTCGCACTGACCGACTGTGTCTCAACCAAACCTATCACTTAACCACCCACCTTGGTGCAATGTTCCCCTTGTCGCATTTCCGCCAATACCGGCGACGAGGCGCAATTGTCTCCCGAGCCCTAATCCTCGTCGTGCTGATTGTCTATTGCTGCAAGGCCACTCTGCGCACACGACAATTCCACCCCGTGGAGCCGGACGCGCAGTCCATCCAGAAAAGACTGGAACCCAGCCATGCCATCCCCGAGAAAGCTCCATTACAACAGCCGGTCGGTCTGCCAGACCCTTTGCCAACCGTACCCCCGGTACCCCCGGTACCCACCGCACACCCCCAAGCGGCTCCAGACACCCACAACCTCACCCACCACCTTGCGAAACTCTTTGCCGTCCTCCCCGACGAACCCCACGCCCACACTCTCACCAGCCCGTTAACAGCGACCGGGGAAGAGAGACTACGCGACCTGGGGTTCCGAACGCGCGCCTTCGACGCCCTCTTCCGCGCCTGGGAAGCCATCCACCTGGTCCCCACCGAGACAAACCAGATGCTCATCCGCGACGACATCGTGCGGGTCCTGCGCGACCACCCAGAAATCTCCGCGGACCTCGACCTCACCCCCACCAGCGCGATCCACGCCTACGAAACAACGCGCGGCTTTCTAACCCAACTAGCGAAACGCCTCTTCCCATGGACCACCCCCTACACCGCGGACCACATGACTCTGCACGCGCAATTCCACGACGGAGGCCGCGGCCTGGTCTTCACAGCCGGCAACGACCAAGCGCCCTACCTCGCGACCTCGATCCGCGCCCTCCGCGCCCACGGCTGCACCCTCCCGATCGAGATCCTCTATCTCGGCGACGAGGACCTCGACGAGGAGATCCGCGACGCGCTAGAAGCCCTGCCCGGCTCCGTCGTCACCCGGGATCTGAGTGTCATGGTCGACGACGCCGGCTGGACGCTCCGCGGCTGGGCCGCGAAGCCCTTCGCGATCCTGCTGTCCAGCTTCCGGGAGGCCATCTTCATCGACGCGGACGCGCTCTTCCTGGCGGACCCGGCGGCGCTTTTCGACGACCCACTCTACAAATCCACAGGCGCGTTGTTCTTCAAGGACCGGCTGTTCATGCCCGGGAACGAGAAGCGGGCGTGGCTGCGGCGGGTCCTCCCCGCGCCGGTGTCCCCGCGCGTCCGCCAGAGTCGGATGTGGACGGGCCAGAGCATCCACATGCAGGAGTCCGGGGTCGTGGTTGTCGACAAGTGGCGCCATTTTGTGGCGTTGTTGATGGTCACGCGGATGAACGGGCCGGATCGCGACGGCGATGAGAGTAGGGGGTTGGTGGGGGTGTATGATATGGTTTATGGTGAGTTGGTTTGCTTGTATTCTTTCAGGGCGGGTGTTTGCTGACAAGAGATGCTTTGTGGAATACAGGGGACAAGGAGACCTTCTGGTTGGGATGGGAGCTGGTCGGGGATACCGAGTACGCGTTCCATGAGGGCGCGGCGGCGGTCATGGGCAAGCCCCAGGCGAACCGTGACAACGCCACCACCCCCACCACCACTACAGAGGGTAAGGAGCACGACTTGAAGTATACCGTGTGCGCCCCGCAGCTGCTGCATTTGGGGACCGACGGCAGACCCCTGTGGTTCAACGGGTGGCTGCTGCCGGATAAGTTCTCGGACGAGGAGCGCCAGCCGACGAACTTCGAGGCTTTCATCCCCGAGCCCCCCAGTGCGGAGGACAGCGGCTCGTGGCAGCTGCACGACAGCAACGTCTGTTGTCTGTCGGCAGACCAGGTGGTGTACTTCGATGCGGCGGAGAAGGAGGCCTTGGATGGGCTGATCGGGATCGCGAGGGATGTGGGGGCGATTGGCCGGCCGCAGTAGAATGGAATCGACATTACAAAAATCGACTTCATCGTCCAAGACCGAAGGATCGAAGGCATCAGGCTAACGAGAAAGTTTCCGGATGGCGGACTACGAGGGTCACAACCGGGATAGAGCACGGGTTACACGAGATGAGCATACTATGCCTGCGTCATCGGCTGCCCGGAGAACAGGCCCCACGAATCAGTCACCCAAGGCAACCACCTCCGGCGCCCCAAAACCAGCAGAGCTCAGTCTACGCACACGTCTTTTGAACAACTGATGGATCGGATACGGAAAGCGACTAGATTTGCATCTCGCTCCGCAGACATCCTGTGGATCGTGTTTCGGACAAGCCAGGGAGGATAAGCATCGATCGGATCATATTGTTCATGACTGCGCAACTCGATCTCTCATGGGTTTAGCAGTGATTTCGCACATGCTTGCGCAGACGTGCTCTATTTGTACTTTATTCAGCTGAAGAACACGACAGTATGGAATCATGCCGGAAGCTGGGGCTCAGATTCGGGTGCATCGGGGCTAGATTGTCTTCTGTATGGCGATGATGAATGATGTATCACCCGGACAGGGGAAGACCCCACAAGGTGGAATGTATCCTGAGTGTCTCCTCAGCTACCATCTTTGCATGTCTGACCATTACATGCAGATTCCTTTTGTGTCTTTTTCCTTAGCCTTGGTACTCGGTTGAATATTTATGATGGAAAAGATGAAAGTACCATATTATTACCAGTATTCGATTACCTGATTCTCTGTCCAGTGATGGCTCTGCGGAGACTTGGCCGCTGCATTCACTCCCCCGCCTCCCCCGCAGCGCAGACCACAACCTCATGAATCCATTCCGAATGAAGGGCCTCATATGCTGTGATCCGGCGTTCAGGCTTTGGATCGAGCATGGCATAGATCACATTGCAGCAGCGATCCTGGTATCCTTTAGCAAACCAACCCTCCGTTTCTCAAGGCCGACCCAAAAACTTACACTTCCAAACTCCTCAATAGTAGTAAACCCTTCCACATCCTCCCGTGTCCGCAAATACCACTGAAAATTCCGATCCTCGTCGCTAGCCACCTTCCACAAGAGCATGCCCAGCCGCATAAACGCATAGACCAAGCCCACGGCCCAGACATCGGTGGCCCGGGGATCGTGCTCGCGACCACGCAGCACCTCCGGCGCGGTATACGGCACCTGCTCCAACGGGGGTTGCGCTTTTGGCAACGGTCGCGAGTCCTTCGGCAACCACTCGGCACTATCGAAATGCGCCACCTTCACCGCCCCATTCACAGTCAGCAGTACATTCTCCGCCCGCAGTCGTCGGTGCACGATCCCCTCGCCATGGAGGAACGAGACCCCGCGCAGCAGCTGCTTGAAGAAGCAGTCCGCTTCCACGGCGGAGAGCTTCCCCGTTCGCAGAAGGAGGGTCTGCAGACTGCCGCCGCCGCAGTATTCCATGACGGAGTGCAGATCCCCTTTGTCGTTGTAGCAGTGCTCGATGGTGCGCACGACGTTCGGATGTTGGACGACCGAGGAGATGGCCATCGCTGCGCGGCGGTACTCGTCTAAGAGTCTTCCGGGGGAACGGTGGCGGACTTTGACGGCGTACAGATGCTCTTGTCCCGAGTGCCTCGGTGGTTTCTTGGCGTACAGGCCCACAAACGTGGACGAGCCGTAGTGCAGGATCTTGATGCATTTCCCATACCGGTGGGAGAATGGTTCCGGCTTGTCGTCCCCCTCGGAAGTTGTGGATCGTGAGATTGCGGGATCGCTCGGAGTCTGGCGAGGGGTGTGATGGGTGAATGTGTTACACAACTTCTGGAAGAGACCAGCGGGCTTCTCGGGTTCGATGAGATGGCGATGGTTGCCATCCTCTAAGATCTCGATGTGGTGCGGCTTTCTCTCCTTGGTGGACATGGCGAAGCCTGACCGGTCCGGCGAGGACGTTTCTTCGTGTAGATGTGCGTGTTGCGCTTGCTATGATCTAAACTACTTTATCCAGAACCAATGTGCTTTGGGGATCAATCAGGCGATGTGTCAACTCGATCAACCCTTCGGCCTGCAATATTAGGGTGACTATTTGGAGTAACACCAGATAATGACGCCATCTGAATAAGAAAGGTAGAGGAGAGGGTGAGTGGGGTGACTCTGGGAGGAATACGAGGATGTCTGGCGTCAGCTGGAATGTGACGAGCCCCGACCCGCCCCGCCCCCGGATCACATGTGCACGCTAATCTAAAATGGTATCAAAGCACCCGGTGGTTGCAGGTCAGCTGTACTGCTTTTTCGGTTCATGTGGAACGAAAACGGCTTAATAAGCAGCTTGGTCACGTGATTTTCAAGCGACCCTATTACCTATACAAACAGAAAATTTCATTCCACGCCACCTTTTTCAATACTCTTATATATACTATTTTTAAGTGATTTTCTTTAAGCTAAAAAGATATTTTCTAAGTATTTTCTAAGTACTTATCAAGTAGTTAATAAGTACTTAGAAAATACTTAGAAAATATCTTAAAAAAATAACTAAAATATTTTTTTAACTATTAAAATTATAAGTACTTAGAAAGTACTTAATAAATATTTATAAAATATTATTTAAATAAAGTCTTTTTAAGTACTTACTAAGTACTTAACAAGTACTTAAAAAATAACTTAAAAATTTACTTAGAGTAAGAGTATTTAAGCATATAAAAGAAAATTAAATTTCAATAATAAAAAATAGTAATTTATAAGATCGCTTGGAACCTTCCTGCTTATGTAAAGGACTTGGCATCACGTGCCGCAGGAACATTCCACATGAACCCAAAAAAGACTTCAGATGACCTGTGTTCACAAGCACCCGTCACTATCCCGTATTCCGTAACTTAGTCACTCCGTCGCTAGTCGCAAGCAAACAGTGCAAACCCCCGAGTATTGCCGCTATCGAGTTGAACAGGAACCTTTTCCCTTTTTGCCGCATCCAGCAAAGCTTAGCCAAGCTTGGGTTTGCAAAGTAATTGTATGAGTACGTCATGTTCCAGCCACACTTACCCGGTTCCTGACACGATGAACACTCCCTACAGCGAATACAGTCGATTGGAAAGACTCCCGATGAAAGCGTTCACCACATGTAAACAGTTGTACACATGCACAAACAGGAAAGACATAGGACTAAAAAGTGCTTGGCGCCCTTCACTAAACAAGCTGACTGGCATTCCGTTGAAAGCGAAATTTGGCGATCTGTCTTTCCTGATGTAGTAAAGTTTATCAGAATAAGAAAGTGAATGTAGTATTTGCAGAGTGACCCTCACTGATACAGAGGGAGTATACGATGACTCCCCAGCAACGAATTACTCCAGGTTTCTCACCTTCCCCGCCAACCCCCAGTGGTCGTTGGAACGACGAACCTGCCGCCAGAACCAGGCCACATACGCCTCCTGTTCGAGGACGTTGTCCGGAGAGCGAGACGCCGCGTCCTGCGTCGGCGCCGTGATGGCCGCCAGTTCCTCCCGCAGCTGCTCTTCCAGCCGGGCTTCCTCGTCTTGCTTGTCGTCGCAACCATCTGGGCTGAGCAAGCCACCTCCCTGCTCGGAGGCCCGTCTCTCCAGGGTGCTGCGTCGCAGGGAGGCCCTCAGCTCCCGACCCATCCGGTCCTCCAGCAACGCCGCCACCGCGACCGAGTGAAACGGCCCCTCCTGATGCGGCCAATCGCGCAGCGCCTGCAGCGCCTCCCACCGCAGCCGGAAATCCTGGCAGCCGTCGCCCACGACGAAGAGCAGCGGGATCACCCCCAGGTCGACCGTCACCGTGGGCCGCAGGGGAAAGTTGGCGATGAATCGCTGGATCCGGCGCAGCAGCGCGCGGTACTGCGGGGTAAAGAGCTGCAATCGTTCCGGGTCGTGGTGGAGGGGGCCGGTGTGGACGACAAGCGAGGCGGTGATGATCAAAAGCTCGAGGAGCTCGATCCCGTGTCGGGACTTAGGGCTGAGGTCGTTGCGTTGGCGGAGGGTCTGGAGCAGCTGCATCGCCGGCCGTAGTTGTGCGGCAATGGCCATTTGCTCCGCCGCCAGTGCCGCGCGGTCGGCCTGGAGCTCGGCCGGGGACATGCGCCAGCACCACCGCACGAATTTGAAGAGGCGGTTGTGAAGGGGTTCTAAAGCTTGGCGGGCGCCGTAGAGAGGGTCGTCGTCGAGTTTAAGCGCTTGGTCGCCCTGCTGCTGCTGTTGTGATTGCTGCCACCATGGATCAGGTGTCGGGTGAATCTCCGTCCCTACCTCATCTTCCTCCCCCCAGTACCACAGGCCCGGCCCATCCATCCCGATCTGGGTGTCCAGGTGTCGGAACACAGTCACCCAACGTCTGGCTGTGGGACTCTGCGACGAGGGCTCGCTTTCGCGCAGGATCCGCAGGCCCGCCCGCAGATGCTGCAGCGCCGAGCTGTATTCCTGCCAGATGGTTGCCACCACCGCGAACAGCAGACAGCAGAGCAGGGTCATCTCGCGGACCTGCGGATCGCGCGGGTTACGTCTCCGCAGACAAGCGAAGGCCCGCGCCGACTGTGCGACGGCCATCCAGTACCAGAACTGCGGAGCACAACCGATCACACCCCCGGCCTCGACCTGCTGGTGCACCGCACCCAAGGCAACCACGGCGTGCCAGACAGCAGGCTCCCGAGGCACCATCTGCAGCAGGAACTGCTGCCAGACCGCCGAGTCGAAGAAGCTGAGCGCATCCGGGAGGGTCCGAGCTTGGACAAAGGTGAAGCAGCGGCGCTCGTCGGAGGTGCTGGCCCACGGCACCGCCACCGCGATCGGGCCAGCCACAACCGGCGGGGGGTCCCGGCGGTGATTGAGCTTCTCGCGATTGGTCGAGAGGAATAGTTGTCGGTAGGAATCGTACCCATCGCACTGGCGGCCAGTGGAGGTGCAGTTGCGGCAGCTGCCGGGGGTTTCGTCACACTTGATGCGTCGGGTTCTGCCGTGGATGATGTCCTTTCTAGTCGCCTTTTCCTGCAAGGTGTGGTGTATAGCCCGGGTTTACATACCGGCAAGTGCGACAGCCCGTTCTCGATCTCTTAAATCCCGCCCCGCGCGGCTTGGCAGAGAGTGGTTTCATGGTGAGGCCACGAATCGCAGCAGGCGTCGAAGGGATGTAGTGGGTGGGAAGTTGAGGTGAAGAAGTTGTGAAGTTGTGCGGGGCCACACTAGAGGAACTAGCTCCCTGCTAGACAGGGATTCTCTGTCCAGCTACACCATTTTAGGACTAGGTAGCGGAATCGAAGGAATGTAGACTGTGATCATTTTTGAGATCATAAGGTGGTCTTTCGTAGACTGAGATCACGTCCTTTTCTCCGAGAGTAAGTGTAATTTGATCGAGTTAAGAAATGGCAAGCGCTAACCAGACAGCGCTTTGAGATATATATGGCAGGAATTGTCTGACCCGATGCCCCATCTCCACTTGGGTGAGATCGGCCTTATAATTTTGGTCAGCTTACGATTTCATGGTTCGTTAGATCTTTGAGCTTACAATTGACCCCACATCCCAAAGTACAATGGTTCCGAATCAACTGTGGGGAAGGGCGCCGCTGCCCGCACTTCATAAAGGGGGGGGGGGGAAACTTAGAGCCTTGAGGTCTTGTCATCGATATCGCAATAAGAACCATGCTACTAAAAATCTAATACTTGTGCGTAAATTATAAATAATGATCCTCCGAGCAACTGTTATCCCTTGGAATGTTTTAGGTAAGTACCACACGTTCGAATAGTCCGTTATGTGCCGCCTCTACACGGATTGTCTCCGTTTTGCACTGCTGTAAGATAGGGTTGGCGGACGGGCGGACCGAGGGTAGGCCGGGATGATTAGTGAACATGCGTGCACAAGATACATGGTGGCAAGGAGGCAGCGTATCGTCATTCTGTCTGCAATGGACCTAGAATTCCTCTGTTGAGATACTACCTTGTAATTGGCCTCTGATGGTGAGTTTTGTCGCATGTTGTTCCGCTATGTCGACTGTGTTTTCCTTGATTCCACCAATTGTTTGGAGGAGTCTCCGTAGCGTGACTTCGGACCGATAGCATTATCGTACCGTACCGTACCCTAGATATACATCACATAGAGACTAGAACCCCAACCCTCACATTAATTGGTGCTGATAACGCGTCAATCCCTTGCAAGTGAGCTGCCGAGGTTGAAATGCTTGCACTTGTGCTGACGAGATGACGTTACTGGCCGGCAGCTCTGATCTAGTGAATTGCCTCTCCTGGCTCCGTGAAAACAAAACTGCTGCACATTTCCGCTGAAATCCAGTCGTCTTGCGGATCATCACCATCTTTGTACTGTGCCGTATACTGCAATTCGGCCCTTGGTATCCTTGATCGAGGACAATGGCAGAACCCGCGCACTCCTCACTCTTTGAAAAAGCGATCGCCGTGACCCCGATCGGTCCCAACACCTACTCCGCATGGCTTGACCCGGCCTGGTGTATTGGGAAGGGTAAGAAAAACCGAACCCCTCACCTGCGGTATGCAAGATCCCGGCAGAGGCTAACAACAGTGACTGGAATTGCTGCAGTACCACACGGTGGCTACACCATGAGCATTTTTTATCGAACCGCGGCTGTGCACTTCGCTCGCAAACAAAGCAGAGCCGAACCGATTGCTCTGCAACTGTCGTTCCTGCGACGGACACTCGCCGGTCCCGCTGTCTTAACCGTCCAGGAAGTCAAGATCGGGACGAGGATCAGCACGATCCACGTATCCCTATCGCAATCCCGCAACAACCCCGGCCCTTCGGCAGGAACCACGCCTGCAGTG